TGCTACCGATCTCGGATTTCAACCCCATTTTTCGACCGAATTTCATCGTGAAAGATCTATAAGGTAATTTCTCTTCATTCTCTCCTCTTTTAACATGTAGAAATCTAGGGTTTTCTCTCAAAAACGAATTTCTAAGGTTTGAACTTTATTTGTAGTAATTTATTTAGAAAATTTATTCTTGTTGTAGTTGAAATTAAACATTTAGGGTATAGAATACTCAATTCTAGAGTTTAGGATTTAGGGTTTTAGGGTTGTAATTTGAGGTTTAGGGTTGTAATTGATAATTTTTTTAAAATTTTTTTTATTTAAATGATATAATTTTCTTTTGCATAGGTTGAACAATATGATTTTTAATGCTTGCTCTTACGGTGGAAAAATTAATGATGGAATGAATAATATGCTAACGTATGTCGAAGGGGTAACGACGTCGTTAATGATCTCGGAATCATATAGTTACTGTGACTTAGTTAATGAATTACACCGAGTTACGATAATTGACCCACGAGAGTACCGACTAAAAATAATATGCAATTGGTCCATAACTTTTGATAGAACGTCCGCAATTGAGATCTCAAACGATCATCATATGAGTATTATGTTTAATTTGAGCAAGTCGCAGCCAACAGTAGAATTTTTTATTGAAAGGTTGTCACATAGTTTGTGCCAAATATTCAACCCTCCAGGAGAATTCTCACGCATGTTAGAATTGGGAGTTGAGTCTGATGGTTTTCTTTCTTCTTCAAGTGAAATGGAGCGGACTTAATTTCAATATCACAATGGTGCACCTTCATTCGGTGGAACGTTAAATGTCATGAACAATGAAGTCCTTTAATAAAAATATGAGGACGTTAAGAGGGGCAACAATTGAAGAGAATGAAAGAAGCAACCCCTCTAAAGGTGAAGATGAAAATAGTGCATCAATTGATAGCATATAATTTGTGAGTGAAGATGATGAAGAGAATCCGGATTGGCCCGATGAGGCTTATGTTAATAATGAAAATGTTGAGTACGAAGAACCACCCCCCAATGAGTTTGAATATGATGAGTGGATTCGTTCTTCCATAGTACAAGATATGCACATTGGTGAAGGTTCAACTCATAGAGGAGATGATGACGTCCCTTTTAGAGTTGTGATTTATTCGAGACTAAGTACCAAATGGTTAATGCTATTCGTGGTTACTCAATTAAAAAGTTGGTCAAATTCAAGCAAATTAAAAGTAATATGTTTTATGAATACACAAATGGAAGTTATATGCATTTGACGGAAAGAAGCATAATGATGCATTGAGAACGACTACCGAGTCAGGGACGAGGAGCACGTTCATTCGCATCATAAAAAAGATTCAGCCAAATCAACAGTCTACGAATCACTCTAAGAATACCTGTATCACCACCATAAAATAAACGATAGATAAATAGCGTTAGCCAAATCAACAGTCTACGAATCCAAGCCTAGAGATACAGATAAACACTCACGCTTGAAGAGCCCACCAAAACAAATGTAAAGAAAAGAAAAACATAGTGTTTAATTATAATGAAATTCAAGTCATATCATTTTCATTTGATCCCTAAGATATACATAGGCTTTTCAAGCATATGTGACGTAGAAATATTAAAATACATTTGACTAACCAAATATCCTAGAAAACTTTTAAAAAAATTCATATCGTCCATAGTCGTCATCTTTTGACACTTCAAAGAAAACTTTATGCATAGAGCTCCGAATCATGCAAGACTGGGCTTACATGAATATAGACTGAAAAACCTATCCAGAACCTCAAACGAGGAGTCCTGTGAGCTTTTCTATGGAAAATTATGACCAGAACAATCATTAATCTACATGTATTAAAATTCAAAAATGTAATTTGATCATTTTGTGCCTGCATCAGGTTTGATGTCTTTCGCAGCTAGAGGATAAGTAAATATTATACTTTCATATCATTTTGTGCCTGCATCAGGTTTGATGTCTTTCGCAGCTAGAGGATAAGTAAATATTATACTTTCATTTAACATATTATCACTAGTAGAAAAACAAGCAATCTAGACGGAAATTTCCGTCTAGATTGCTCCATTTCCCGTCTAGATTGGTTCACCTAGACGAAATTCCGTCTAGTTTGTTCCGTCTAGAATATTTCCGTCTAGATTGGGGCAAACTAGACGGAATTCCGTCTAGTTTGCCAACCTAGACGGAAAACAACCTAGACGGAAGTAAAAAATCCGTCTAGGTAGATTCCTAGACGGCAATCCGTCTAGGTTGGCAAACTAGACGGAAATCCGTCTAGTTTGCCAACCTAGACGGATTGCTACAGTAGCAACCTAGACGGAATTCCGTCTAGGTTGCTCTGCTACAGTAGTTTTTTTTTTTTTTTTTTTTTGCAAAACCCACATTATCACATGTACACAATATAGCACAACACCAAATCATGTTCATATCCAACACAATCGATCTAATTATATTTCAATATCAAATATAGTTATATTCAAATAATACATTCACCAAAATACTAGAAAGGTGCATAAATTTTTTACATAGATTGATTATAAAGAATACAATTGTTTACATAACTTGATGAACTTTGCATAATTTATAGAATCCAATTGCATTTACTCCTCCAAATTGTTGAAGCATCATGTTTCTTCCTCCTTGATCCTACATTATGCAAAATTCAACATCAATTAGTCCATGCCATGAAATACACTTAGAAAGCATTAACTTTGCAGAAGAACTAATCACAGGGTCTCAAAAAATCAAGTAATTATATACAGTTTTGTGATCCATCATATTCACAGAAAAATAGCCTAAGAGACAAATGACTTACTGAATTAGCAGTCAGTGGGAGGAACCGAAGCTTTACGTCAAAACTCTTGGAGGGAAGTCCCACACCTACGTCATACACTTATGAACACGACTCCAAGATTCTGAGGCGAAAATAAAATATGAGCTTTCATCTTGAAAATATGCTTGTTCTCTGTATCTTCAAACTGAGAGAGAATTTATCCATGTCAGTTATCGAATATAATTCCTTTAAGTAAAGGATGAACACAACATGAACTATGTAACAAAAACATTACAACAATTAATATGTTAACAAAATTGTTAAAAAACAAATAATGCTGAATCAAGTAAGTACAGCCTTGCACAGGCGCAAAGCACACAAGCATCAGGCGCTTGCACACACACACACACACACTAGCAGCAGTTACATAGAGCTGATCAGTCATGAGCATGCATGCATCCTCAACAAACTATCCATATATGCACTCATGTAAAGACATGATACGGACAGGCACACAATATGAACAAGTAAATTCGTACATAGAAAACCCAAAAAGTATATAATTGAGTGAAAGAAGTTGAGTTCACACCAACATGGAAATGACACTTGGCAATCCTAAGAATAGACACAATAAGAGTATCAAACAAGCATACCAGATGCAGGTGCAACATGACATAGCTTCATGATGGTAGTTTTTGCACTACACAAGATACTGACATATCTTAAACTAGTATCAGACCAATCCCTCCTATCTTGAGTAATAGTTTGGAATACACCAAAAAGAAGAGTCGCAAGCTAAACTCATACGAACTGATATAACCACAAAACAAGAACTACTAACATAAGACACCAAAAACCAACAGATCATGTCCAGGCAGGCAAATATCAATTACATGAAGCATAAAGAAGGGTATAAGAAGGAATCATACTAAGCTTCTCTAAAAAACAGCCGACAAGCCAAATCACGCTCACATGTAATAAATAATTAGCATGTGGTTGATGTAACACAACCAAAAATTACTCAAACAGAAGCATATGCTTTATCATAAATAACAATTCATCAACTAATTGAATCTCACAGTAACTAAGCACATAATATAACATTATACTAGATATGATTGCTAACTTTTAACAGATACATAGCCAAGGGGATAAGAAGAAGTAAAGGAACAACAGTAGACTTAAGTATACCAAAATTACGACTACTGTTTAGTTACAAGAAAAGATGGACAAATAGAATAATTGTAACATCAAAAAATATTACCATCATTCCAAGAATCCACACCATTTTCAGATGCACCAATCCACTTGCATGAAGTGTTTTTGTCTTTCCAAGTGCCAGGTAAATTTCCTTCTGTGCTGAAATCCACTTGCTAAAAGTGTTTTTGGCTTTCCAAGTGCCAGGTCTATTTCCTTCTTGCAATGAAGTGTTTTGTTACATATTAATTGTGTGCTCTCTGAAGGGATAGCTTGTTTCACTTCTTGCAATTTCTCTCAAACTAGAATTTCCTTGAAGAAATTTCCTCAATGGACACATATGCGTTGCTGCATTTGTTCTAGTACATTACTAATCAAGAATTTCACTTACTTGCGCATGCAGAATTTGTACTCATGGCTACGAACATAATCCTTCTCCCCCTCTTCAAGCTAAAAGCACAAAATCAACAACCAAAAGTTATAACTTTTCTACACAAATCAATCAAATAAACCCTAGGGGGAAAAACAGTAAAAAAAATTACAGGATCACTCTCGTAGACGAGAGAATAGCAAGTAGGCGATAGACATCGAAGCACACAGTTCTCCTTCTTGATCACCGACGACTTACACCTCCATCCCCACATCCCACTTCACCGACAAACCACAAAGATTCAATTTTTATCGATCCAATTACACAATTTTACAAGAAAACGAGGCGAAATTGAGAAAGCTGATACCTTTCGACGTCGGCATCTTCTCTCTGATCTCTTGGTCCTGCATCAGTTTGAATGACGTTAGCACATCAAAAGAGGAATCAAGAGCTCAAAGCCCTAAATCGGGTTCTAGAAAGAGCTTACAGTGATCTGATGAGGAGATGATTTGGCGAGAGCTAGAGGAGAGAGAAAGCTCGAGAGGAAGGGATGGGGCGGGGCGGCGGAGAGGGCGGAGGAGGTGGGGGGAGGGCGCGAAAATTCTGAAAATTTGAGAGGGAAAGATGGGGCGGCGTGAGAGAGGGGGGGAGCGGATATTCTGAAAATTTGAGAGGGTAAGATTGGGGGTGTGGGGTGGGGAAACATTAGGGTTTGCTAGGGCGCGAAAATTCTAAAAATTTTAGAGATGGGGGAGGCGAGGGAGGGGGGGCGCGGATATTCTGAAAATTTGAGAGGGAGAGATTGGGGGTGGGTGCGGAAACATTAGGGTTTTCTATTATTTTTTTCCCCACAAACTAGACGGAAATTCCGTCTAGGTTGATGTAAACTAGACGGAATTTCCGTCTAGGTTGATAGAAATTCTTAAAAAATAATTACCCCGTCTAATTTGGTAATCTAGACGGAAATTTCCGTCTAGATTGTCTCAAACTAGACGGAACAAACTAGACGGAACAAACTAGACGGAATTTTTTCCGTCTAGTTTGCCTCAAACTAGACGGAAAAAAATTCCGTCTAGTTTGTTCCGTCTAGTTTCCTCAGTTTTCTACTAGTGTATTCGTAATTATCAAAGCAAAGATAATTTCTATTATTGTATTTTATAATAGAATATAATCTCTTGCTATCATATCGTTTATATTGGGTAGCATATAATCATGTATAAGGAAGAATATCAATTCCTCATTTTCTTCTTTATTTTATGTCTTTACGGGAACTTTCTGAAAGTACCCTAGAGGGGGTAAATAGGGTTATTACAAATTTTATTAGATATTAATGCCGATTAAAATTAATTAACAAATATATCCTAACAATTATGATATTCATTAAGATATATGCAATGATATATATGCAAAGAGGAATATCAAGAAACAATGTAAACAACTAGTGGACACAATGAACAATCCAAACACAATGATATGATCACGGAGTTCGGACCTTCCGTCCTACGTCTCCGCTCCCCACTCCAGGGGAGAAATCCACTATCGACACACCCGGTTTGGAAGCCAGAACTTCTCTACACACTCGGTTTTCTAGCTTACCAAAAACTCTACAACACACACAATTACAACCACACTCTACACCCTCTAAGTGTTGGTCTCTAGGCCGTGTTTCCCTCAAGTGCTTGGAATTACTGTTAGACCCTAGAGGGGGGGTGATTAGGGTCTTATGCTAATCTAATCCGATTAAATGCCAATTAAAAACTAATTAACAAGTTATCCTAGCAAGTATGAAATATCACAAGATATATGAGCTAGGATAAGCAATGTAAACAATGAGATATATCCTATATGATGAAATATATATATATGCAAGGATATATAAACTAACACAAGGGGTAAACAATGTGAACTAGATAGTGGATCATATAAATGATGAGCTAATGACAATGGCGATAAGAAATATAAACACAAGTATAAATAAACGCCAAAGCACACTCAAACACAAGATATGATCACGGAGTTCGGACCTTCCGTCCTACGTCTCCGCTCCCCACTCCCGGGGAGAAATCCACTAACACAATCCGGTTTGGAAGCCGGAACTTCTTCTACACACTCGGTTTTCTAGCTAACCGAAAACTCTACAACTCACACTCTTGCAATCACACTCTACACCCACTAAGTGTTGGCCCTAGCCGTGTCTCCCTCAAGTGCTCGGTTACAACCTCTCTCTAGGCACGTCAACCGACGCCACTCCTCTTGGGACGATCCCCGACTCTCACCACACACTCCTCACTCGGTGTACAAGTGTATTACAAAGTGATTCTCACAATAAGCACAAATATGACAAATGATTGTTCTCAAAACAAGGTGAGAACTCAATTAAGCACAACTCTTAGTCACAAACCCACAACCCCAAATTATACTATGAATGTAAATACAATAAGCTCAAAAGGTTGTGTGTGAACAAAGAGATATAAATCAAAACTAAACTCAATGTAGTTCTAGCTTAATAACAATGATAATCAAATATATAAAAAAGCTAGAAATAGAGTTTAGAAAACTTCTCAATATATCAAGAGTTGGAGGGAGAATAGTTGAATGCCCAAACACCAATAGATGATCTCCTCAAGCTCTTGTAGAATTGAATCACAAAAACAAACTCTCAATTTGCTTAAAAGCTTTTTAAACACACTTAAACCAAACTAAAACCCTTGTTAAAAACTTTATTAAACTTGATTAAAAACTCTCTTAGTTAGGTGGAGAGCTGAAGGCAATGGGGTATTTATACCCTCTCAAAACTTCAGCAAAACCCCAAACAAAAAGACAAAAAATAGCCCAAAGCAACGGTAATAAAAAGAGCCGTTGGAAGCAGAAAAAGATACTGTCGGTCGACTGGAAATTTCACCGGTCGACCGATGGAGCTATCGGTCGACCGGACCGGTCGACCGACAGACTCT